AACCTTCAGAACACGGCCAAAGAGCCCAAAAACCCACAACAACCATTAGATCCCGGCCGTGAAAGCCTTCGCGAATGCATTTCACTGGTCGTCTGAGCATTCAGCCTGGAGGCAGGCATTGCATCATGGCCTCTCCCAATTTGAAGAGACCCTTGTCCAGCACACCGAAGCAAAGAGGCAGTCCTGAAACCAGCAAAATCAGGGAGCTGGACAGGGGACAGATTGTATTTGTCTTCAGTGTGGAAGAGATTGTCACTCTCCAATTGGCCTCCTCAGCCACACTAGATGCTTTTCTAAGTCCTCTATTTAGAGGATGTTCAGAGTCATGGCCTCTCCCAATTTGAAGAGACCCTTGTCCAGCACACCGAAGCAAAGAGGCAGTCCTGAAACCAGCAAAATCAGGGAGCTGGACAGGGGACAGATTGTATTTGTCTTCAGTGTGGAAGAGATTGTCACTCTCCAATTGGCCTCCTCAGCCACACTAGATGCTTTTCTAAGTCCTCTATTTAGAGGATGTTCAGAGGATGTTACCATAGTCTTTCAAGACTGAAGGATGCCTACACCAAGTAGCTTCTTCAGACTGAGGATAGTTGGTAGGAGACACCTGATATATTCTCCACATTGGTTTCACTTCCCCTGGTCTGAATAGGCTCACCTGAATAGGTGAGTGAAAACTCCACCCATAGTGATAGGTTGTTAACAGTCATTAATAGTCGTCTTTCTGGTGGGTGTGAACCTGATCTATCTGGGAACAGATGACGTACATGTACATATGGAAACTCCCTCACTCAACAGAGGTGGAGACCTTAGATACAATCTGTCTCCTATTTATCATTCTGTCCTTTCAGCCGTCCCCAGAAAAATTAGGACCACACCCACCAGAAAGACCCTTGTTAACGACTGTTAATGATCCATGGCAAAGGTTGGAGAAGGACCGCAGAGGTGGGATGTTCACTCACCCCCTGTCCATTGTCCATCTAATGTTCTGTGCATTTACACATTGCAGATTAATGCAGAGGTGGCAATGGGATGGGGGCCTATGAGCAGAACATATGAGAATGACTCAGGTCAGAAGGCCTTCTGTTGTTGTTGTTTAGTCATTTAGTCGTGTCCGACTCTTTGTGACCCCATGGACCAGAGCACACCAGGCCCTCCTGTCTTCCACTGCCTCCTGGAGTTGGAGCAAATTCCTGTTGCTCGCTTCGATGTCCCTGTCCAACCATCTCATCCTCTCTCGTCCCCTTCTCCTCCTGCCTTCACACTTTCCTAACATCAGCATCTTTTCCAGGGAGTCTTCTCTTCTCATAAGTGGAAGGGGAATTGAGGTTACTGCAGCTCTGTTAGCACTCAGATGTCTCAATCACGTGTCTCCCAGCACTAAAATGAACAAGTCCCAAAGTGTCCCCAGACTCAGACACCCACCTCTTCCATTGTGGCTGCCATGCATTCGGCCAACCTGGTTTGCTATGATATGAAAAGGATGTTGGATTAAACAGGAACTTGGTCTGAGGTAACGTAACTCTTCCTTCATTTTCCATCTCTTTTCAAAGCCTCTATCCTCATCCATTTCTTCTTATCTTGTCTGAAGCAAATAAACTGTAGCCAGACCAAAACCATGGTTGGTTGAAATAAGCCGGTCTCAAGTTGGCTAAGTCTTTACTTCTTTCCATAGAACATAGGTGTTTATAAATCTCTTCAAGATGTCCTCCTTATGACAAGGAGGGAAGTGACGGACATGGATCAACCGTAGACACAACTCTGAACCACTGCCAGTGCAAAACAGAAGCATGAATATGATTCACTCAATTCATATTGTTCAAAAGCTCACCCTCAGGTCTTATTGTACCCATGAGGTCAACGTATAGGCGAATGCAGAAAGCGGTTGTATTCCGAACATGTAGATGCAATATTCGCCCATCTCAAGAAGAGATGGGTGTCAACTGAAGGGTGCCTGTTCGTATAAGTCTCCTTTTCTTCTGAAGTCATGAAGTAGATATTAAAAAGAGCAATGGAAGGGTGGTTTTTTTTGTTTTGTTTCTTTTTTTTTCTTTAAAGGGACAATGACATCAACCTTCCTTCAAGAGACGCACCCTTTAGTTGTTATATAATCCTTTACTGATACCGATAATGATTCTCGCAATGCTGAAATAATTGCCAAACTGTCTCTCTTTTCAACTGTGAACCTTTCATGGTGAATCTGTTTGTGTTCGTTAGTGAAAGGCCTTCCTCCTGACAGCTACTCCGCGACGCAGCCCGTAACCACCCGGAATTGCTGACCCATGGATCATTGTAGAGGGCGCGTTCTCCGTGTATTATAGCAGGGGAAATATGGCTGAAGCTGTTTGCATTGGAAAAACAGGCTTGGCAGCTATTGTTAGCACAAAGCTTTCATGGATAATTGCAGGAGGAAAATGCCATTGATACCAGCATAGACAGTTATATATAAGGGATAGCTGGTGCCCTAGGACATAATGATAAACAGTAGCTGTGAAATGAAGAAAGAATTTCTTTGCCAAAAGGCTTCCCAATTTGACGGTTCTTCCAAATGCTGAAATCAGGTTAGGAAGTATTTTTAGTGGAGAATATGCAAGCCGACATAAGGGGGCAGGCGGTGTTTAACTCTTCCTGTGCCCTTCAAGAATGAGCTATGCTGGCTGAAAATGATGAGGCTTGTGATTTAATAAGGGTTCCATGCTGAGGAAGACCACCTTAGATTTTTTAAATAAATTGTTTTTCCATGAAGCGTGTATGCTGTGGAAGTTTTCAGAGGAACGTATCCCTGCTGATTCTGGCCCTGATCCAGATAGGGAGCACTGGCTCATGATATGCATAGGACTCAGAAATGGGAGATGATGATGCAGGCTCCAAAGCTGAATAAGGCGTGTAAATACTAGGGCTGCATTGAGTCTTCTGACACTGAATTTAGGGTCTATCCGGGTGTTTCCATTCACTTTTAGCCCAGTACTTTGATGATGTGTGATAGGACCACCACCCCCTTCTGAAATCCTGTCTGATTTGTGTGATAGGCACAAGATGGGCCCTAGCAGGCTTCTAAGACATCCCAAGACCTCTTGGAATCTAGTCGAAAGTCATGAATTTAGGTGAAGATGTGACCTCGAGCACAATCTGTTTCAATCATCCTCCGCTGTAAGGGAAGAATATGGTACAGCAACGTCTGGGGCCATCTTTCCTGTGCAGTTTGCCATCACTGAACCTGGCAAATTGTAAACAATTGCGCCGTTAATCACATCATGATGGCGAGAGAAGTAGGATACCAAGGGGCTTAAGAGCAGCTGTTCCCTTTCTGTAAGCCTGTTCAGAATTGCTTATGGGACTAATGTTTTCCTTGTAGGAAATCAATCTTTTACACTTCTATTTAAATTTTACAGCACAAAGGGGTGCACCTTTAATGGTCATCAGAGTATACCAAGGTGGATGGTGACATAGACTACATTGATCACGTTGACAGTCTTTTTGTTTAATTTCTTCTACTGAAGCACAGTAAATAGCCTTTTGATAGATGTTCATTTGTTTCTGGAAGCAATTAAAGTGCTGCTTTTGACCTATAAAGCCCTAAATGGCTTGGGTCCATGCTATCTCAAGGAGCATATCTCCCCTTATGAGCCTACCCAGCTTTTAAGATCATCAGGGGATGCTTTTATTGTAATCCCACCACCCTCACAGGTGTGTTTGGTGGGCAGGGCCTTCTCTGTGGCTGCTTCCAGACTCTGGAACTCCCTCCCACAAGAGGCCAGCCTGATCCCATCTCTGCTGTCCTTCTGCAAGCGGACAGAGACCTTTCTCCTCAGGCACACTTTGTTTTAGTGACTGGATATCTGTGTGGTTTTTTTTTTAATGGGACTGTTGTTTTTGTTACTCTTTAATATATTTTAGTACTCCTTTTATCTGAGTTTCTAATATATTTGTTTAATTCTGTAATAATGTATTGTTTCTAGCTTTCAAACGCTTCATTTTTAAAAGATGGTAAGTCACCTTGGGTCCTTTTTAGAAGAAAGGCAGGGTAAAAAAAATATTTAAGATAAATAATAAATAAAGCTTTAGAACACAGATAGGAGAGAATCCAACCTGGAATCTTGGAGAATGACTGCTCTTATTCAGAGGTGACAATACTGAACTCCTTAGTGTAACTCAGTGGTTCCCAGCCTTGGGTCCCCAGAAGGTCTTAGACAAAACCTCCCAGATGCCTTCACCACTGGCAGCGCTGGCCAGGATTTCTGGGAGTTGTAGTCCAAGAATATCTGGGGACCCAAGGTTGGTTACCGCTGGTCTAAGGCATGGTCCCTTGTCCATGTTTCCGCATTTCTGGATGGGAAATAGTAACTTTGCATTTCCAGCCATCAACACGGAGTCGGCAGAGTGTGGCCTTCCAGAGGTTGTTGGACTTCCCAACTCCCATCATGTCATGCTTCATCCTCTGTCCTGGCTAAGAATGAATGGGAATTGGAGTCTGCCAACACCTGGTGGGTTGTGCTTGCCTACATGAGGAGCATGTGGAGAGTTTCATGGAAAAAGTAGCTTGGAAGTTGGCAGTTCCGGAGTTGTAAGGCAGTATTCTTCCTAAGCAGCTCACTTCGGTAGGTTTCGGGTCTGTTAAACCTGTGCTAGCGACGCATGAAAGCTCCCTGTGAAAAAGGATACCCCATTGTTTACACTGTGGCGCCAATTGAACTTCTGGTTAACTTAATTTCTGAGCAGTTACAGTTTGCTGAAACTGTAGGTGTGCTACATGGATACAATGTGCGAGGGTGATTTTAATCTTTCCTTTTCCCCACCACCACCTATTTTAACCCATAAAGCATTTCCTTTTATCCCTGCCACTCACGGGGGGCTCATTATAATTCACATTCGCAGCCTCCTTATAATAATGTTGCTCAATCATCTTCTCCCCACCCTTCCCTCCCTCCTGCCTTTTCTTTTCTTTTGTCGGAGACCAAATCGTTCCGGGTAATTTCTGAAAGCTTTTCAATTTCTCTCTGTAGGTTGTTGTTTCGTAACATTTTATACAAGAAAAGCTGCGCTCGAGGCACAGAATGCACTGCACAATATTAAAACTTTACCTGGGGTGAGTACATTTACTTTATTTCACTGTAATCAGTTCAGGGCTGGGGGGGGGGGACGATGGGGGGACGGAGAGGGAAAGGGGAGGAGAGGGAGAAGGAGAAGAAGCATCTATGGCTTCCTTTGCTGAAGCTCTTAAGGCCCTGTAGGCTTTTAGTTCTTTCAAAGAGGCTAATGATCTGATGGCTCAGTGGATATGAACCCTGCAGAACGGACAAGCCCTACTATGATCCTGTTAGGATGGTCAAAGACGGCTCTTCGCCTGGTGTGGTTGCAATGACTCAGCTCTGAAAGGGCACAGGACCGGTACATTTTGAAACAATAATCATAAATTTTGAAAAATTAAAATGGCATCAGTGAACAGTGTGTGACATGAACTATAGAAGCATGGGTTTGCAAATGGGAGATGCCTGGGCAGGTCGTCCTTATTGTGCTCGGTGATGGAAGGGACAATGGCTAAATGGCCAAGTATCTCTAAATATTGCATATGACCTCAAGCTCAGTCCTTATTGGTCGGTAATTCTCAGTCCAGATTAGTGGTTCCAAACCTTTGGTCCCCAGATGTTCTTGGACTGCAGCTTTCAGAAAGCCTGGCCAGCAGAGATAGCGGCGATGGCTTCTGGGAGGTCTAGTTCCAGAAACACCTGGAAGCCAAGGCTAGGAGCTCTGTGCATGCTGGACCAGTGATGTGATTCACTGGCAGCTGGTGTTCCTTCTCTCTGTGTGGTGGATGGTACAGTACAGGTGGGTAGAGCTGGAGTACAGGTGAGAACTGATACACACAACGCAAGACTGACAGCATTCACAGGAACATGCAGCAGGAGAGGAACATAGGCAGGGCTCCGACTTGACCCTGGAGATGGGCATGAACCCATGGTTCAGCAGTTGTGCCTGTTCGTCCAGGCAGCAGCAGAGGTCCCGCGCATTCCCTTCCTCCGCCTCCCCGGCCAATGACCCACTCACTAGTCAGAGTGTTCTCCTCTCCTCATCCTCATCCTCCTCCTCCTCTCCATCTCTCCGGCCAATGACCCACTCACCAGTCACAGTGCTCTCCTCTCCTCCTCCTCCTCCTCCTCTCCATCTGTTCAACCAGTCCCTGGCAGGAGCACAGGTTTGCCTCTCCTGCCTCCTTGCCTGAGTGGGTGATCAGCCAAGGAGGTGGAGCAAGGAAACCTGTGCTGGATGAACAGCCAGAGAGGAGGAGGAGAGGAGTGGGTGCCGGCTGGTGAGTGGGGGATCCAGCCGGGGAGGTGGAAGAAAAGAATCATGGCACCACCATCGTGAACCTCCAGACCATGATTTGTGCCCATCTCTCCTGGACATCTCTAGTAGGGAGGCAGGTCGGAATGAGCTGTCCTTGAGGATGGGCAACCATCCCATTGGGTCTCATGACCCAGCCTCCACTGAGTATATGGGACAGTCTCCTGTTTCCCATCGGTCAAGGATGAGAGGGTCTCACCTTCCGAAAGCTTTGGAGAGAGGCTGATCTGGTTGCAAAGCATGTGTCTTACCATGAATAATTGTCAAGTAGTCCTCCGGGATGCAAGACTCCTGACAATTGTATCTTGTTGTGCCTGGCTTTCCTCCCGTTGCGTTGTTTCAAATGTTGTAATGGACTGCAGGGCTTAACATCCTGGTTTGTGGTGGGCATGGTCTCAACGTGGATGGAATGAAGGTTTGCTACGAAACATTTTTGATGCGAAAGTAAATTTAGGGAGCTCAAGGTGTCTCCTGTCATTACCCCACAACTGAAATGCTTAATTAATGGCAATGACGTGGTGGCGCTGTGGGCTAAACCGCAGAAGCCTGTGCTGCAGGGTCAGAAGACCAAGCAGTCGTAAGATCGAATCCACGTGACGGAGTGAGCTCCCGTCGCTTGTCCCAGCTACCGCCAACCTAGCGGTTCGAAAGCATGCAAAATGCGAGTAGATAAATAGGTACCATCTCGGTGGGAAGGTAAACAGCGTTCCGTGTCTAAATCACACTGGCCATGTGACCACGGAAAGATTGTCTTCGGACAAACGCTGGCTCTATGGCTTGAAGAGCGGGATGAGTGCTGCCCCCTACAGTCGAGCACGACTGGACAAAAATTGTCAAGGGGAACCTTTACCTTTACCTTTACTTTGTTACCGTGTTAGTTCCTCCTTGAACTATGCTCTGAAGACATTTTGCTTTCTGGCTAGAATGCTGTTGAGTTTATACTCCACCATACCTGTCTACAAGATTGTCTTAAAATTGGATGTAAGGGAGTGGTTTGAGGTAAAATGAATGAAGAATTAGAGTGTGATTACATGGCTCATAGCTGGGGGATTTGGAACTGGTAAAACCACTCCTTAAATATCTCACCCTGAGAGTCCTATTAGGGTCACTATAAGTCAGTTCTAGAATTCATGGGTAGGTGGGGCTCATTAGCCTTGGATGGCAGCCCATATAGTAGAAGGAAAACTCCAATTTCAAACCTCCACTGCCTTGTGGCTATATCCATTGATGGAAAAGGCTTCAGGAGTTAACCTAGAGGCAAAATCCAGAGCCGGAGTCCCAGAGGCAGTTTGTGTCGTTCTGTCCACTCCAGCCACATCACTGGAACCAGTTGTATTGGCTCTTGCCTTTCCATCGGACCATTTCAGCGATGTGGAGAGGGGCTAATAACAGTCTATCCTCCATATTATTTTACCCAGGCTTCGTGCTCTGGAAGGTACACTCCAGCTTTGCATACAGTGTCGAAACAACACGGGAATTAGCAGTTGCCGGTTATAAGTCTTTGCTTGATTGGCATATGGCATGACACCAGGGGCCACTTCCAACAGTGGGAGAGGTCATTGCACCTCACTAGGTAGCTCCTGCCTGCCTTAAGCTGGGCAGTCCCCAGCCAGTAAGGTGCTGTCTCGCCACCGCCTGTTAAGAGACCCTTGTCCAGCAGGCCGAGGCAAAGAGGCAGTCCCGAAACCAGCCAAATCAGGGAACTGGACGGGGGACGGATTGTATTTGTCTTCAGTGTGGAAGGGATGGTCACTCTCGAATTGGCCTTCTCAGCCACACTAGACGCTGTTCCGAGTCCTCTATTCAGAGCATGATACCATAGTCTCTCGAGACGAAAAGGTTCCTACAAGAAGTCAGTTCTGACATGAAGGCACACAACAACAACAACAACAACAACAACAACAACAACAACAACAACAACAACAACAACAACAACAACAACAACAACAACAACAACAACAACAGGGTGGGGTAAAGACAGAACAAAAATAAACAAACAAACAAACAGACGTCTGCTATATAGCACCAGTCAATGTTTTGATAATTTTGATTGACTGTGCCTGGCATTTTTAATTAATAATCCTAGAACTGCAGTGCTGCAAGGGACCCCATGGATCATGGAGTCCAGCCCCGTTCTAGAAGGCACAGTTGGGGGATTGAACTCCCAACCTTTGGCTCCTTAGCCATGTACACTTTTCTTTTAGCTTTTGCTTTTCAGGGAGGACGGGAGGGGAACTACAGCTCCCAACAGTGAGCATGCCCAGTGGCCACAGTGACTGCAGGATTTTGGAAATTGTATTCTCCCCCCCCTCCAAAAAAAATATTTTTTCCCCCAAACTCTGATCTCAAGGGAATCTATGTCCTCTTTCCTTTAAAACTAGTGCAGCACACGCTGCCCCAGAGCAAATAAATGGGGTCGGTGAGAAACGGGCCATAGCATGCATGTTTTGCATACAGAAGATTGCAATTTCAGTCCCTGGGGATCCTCAGTAAAAGGGTCAGGAGGAAGAAAGAAGGGAAGACCTCTGCCCAAAATGGCATAGAGTGGCTGCCAGAGCAGATGGTATTGGGCCAAATGACGATTCTGACCTGATGCCTGGCAGCAGCTGATGTTTCAACGTGTAGCGGTGGCTCTGGCAGTGTTATCCTCAGTACAGGAATAGTGAGCCTTTTGTCACTAAACACTACAGATACGGCACTAAAATGCAACTCGTACACCCCAATTCCATAGCATGTTGATTGTTCCCTTCCTCTTCCCCCACTCCACATCTGTAATATGTAGAATTAATCCCTGGTGTCCACTGATATCTTTTTTATTCTTGCTTATTTTGGGTTAGTCGTTCAGGGCTTGTTTCTGCTGTAAGACAAGGGAGTCCGCAAGACTAGACAAAGTCTTCTACAGCGTGAGGACAGACTGGAGGTGCTTGTGTTTCTCTCCCCGTTTCTCTGCAAAGCTAGATCAATCTTCTTCACCTCGTCAGTTTCCACAAGGGATGCAGATGGGCTGTGACTAGTTTTGACATCCAGCCCCAGCAGAAATCTGGAATGAGCTTAATTCCCCCCCCCCTTGCTTTCTCTTGTTTTAGCTTGGGTTTCTTTGCATGCAAGATGCCTTCATAAGAATACATGTGTCTTCTTAGAAAAAGCTGGCATTGGTCTGGTTTCCCACCCTCCTCCTCATGTCCTGTGAAGGTTCTAGAACTGAGTTAACATCAAACGCCCACCCCAAAGCTCTTGTTAAATGAAGAAGGGTGCCAACAAACTAGAGCAAGTTCAGCAGTTGGCAAGGATGATGATCAGGGGACAGGAAACCAAGCCTTGTCAAGAAAGACTGACAGAATAGGACATGTTTAGCCTTAAGAAAGGAAGACTGAGGGGGGATAGGATAGCATTTCTCAAATACTTGAAAGGTAGTCATGTAGAGGAAGGGGAGGATCAGAGTGCAAGACTTGTTATAATGGGCTCAACCTACAGGAAACCATATTTAAGCTGAATATCAAGAGAAAACGTCTTAACTGTTAGAGCAGCACGACAATGGAACCAATTACCTCAGGAGGTGGTGAGCACTCCAACGCTGGAGGCATTCAAGAGAAAACTGGACAACGATTTGTCAGGATTAGTTTGATTCGGATTCCTGCATTGAGAAAATTGGACAACCATCTGTCAGATCTGCTCTGATTTGGATTCCTGCATTGAGCGAGGGGTTGGACTGGATGACCTTATAGACCCCTTCCAGCTCAATTG